CGATCCATTCGATAATATTCGATCGAGAGTTGTTTGGCTGGAAACCGACGTAGAGACAGACTGTCTGTCCGGTAAAAGTCCGAATTGATCGTACACGACGGAGCATTAGCATAATCCAATGACTCGAGAATACATTTCGAACTTCCTCTTATATGCTTCAATCACGGAAACGGTTGACATACTTGCACGAGCCATGATGAATAATAAAAGACACAATATTGACAGTGCGCACGACAAATCGCTTAATTATTCAAACTTAGCCTTTCCCGGTGATTCCTCGCTTCTTTATTCAACAAACGTCAAGGATGTATGGAAACAATCGTGAAATGGTATAAAAAAAAATTGTTACATCATTCACGAATCGAAGACAATTTGTTTAAATCTCTATGGAAGAAGATCGATATTCTTATAGGTTTATTATCTTCACGTAAAACTTCTCGATCTTATTGAATAATTGAATTCTTATCAACAATTTCTTACATTATCAAATTTCGATGTAATGTTAATTTTAAGATTCTTAATTTGAGTTGAAATTGAAGTTTAATAGTATGATGGATGAAATCCTATATGAATGGAATATTACAACAACAATTATATAAAATCAAATCAATGCAAACGTCCTTAGAATTACGAATCTTCAATTAATGCAAATATTCAAATTATATGCATTCTCGTCCGACATATTGCGATAATTATTTAATTTTCTAAATCCATCATCCATAGCTAAATATTACATCCTTACGAAATAAATAAAATAAAATAAAATAATGTATAAAGTGAATTAGAAAGCGATATGAATGGTTCAAAAAAATAAGCTTATCATTACGAGATTATCCGGAAGAAAGATCGAAATGCCTGTAATATTTATCTCTTTTCTAAACGTTAAAACGCACAATCATATCTGTATTATCCTATCTAGAACCAATCATCTTCATTCGCATTCTATTTTCACCCTTTCGCGATGACCGCATTGTTTTGGGGTTGCTCGAAGGATAAGTACACGATTTTCTTGGAAATGCAAGATGATCGAGGCGAACCTGCAAGGTCGCCTCTCTCCTTCATCGATCTTCGCGCATTTATAGTTCTATTTATAGCGATAATAAGTAGAAATCTTTATGTAACGCCGCTAACGGAACTTTCTGCACGAGGCTCTGACCTACTTCTCTTTTCACGCTGCCTTGGCTAGAGCCAAATAGAGATTTCGGTTAATTAACCGGCTGATTCGTGTTCAGTTAATTGTAATATCCTATTTATTCGTCTCCAAATGTAAATGAAACTTATTTCGATCAAATGTTATATATTGTATTTCGATACTATATACCATCATGCTTCGTGCGAATTTTGTTTTCATTTTATAAAAATCAATCTCTTATTAACAATAATAGATGACTTCTTAAATTGCACGAACAAATTTAATTAATTAATTTCAATTTTTTCCCTTTCTTTATAAATTCTTCAATTGTATTTTTTAAAAATTACTTTATACAAAATTCCTCCTCCTAAAACGAAAATAATATATATTATCTCGTTCAATTATTACCTGTATCATAAAATCGATTTCAACTATATCCTCCAAAACATCTCTTCCAAAAGACGAGGATTCTTCATAAATCCTTAAAAAAAGAAAAAGAATAGCAACAAATAGTAGTTAAGAAAACCACGTCTGTTGAGTTGCAGAAGGATAGTCGGTAGGTTATTACGCATGTTTGGTCGCACTTATGTCACGCATCTTCGTTCGCACGTGCCCCTTGTCCTCGCCTATTCAACCGGCCCCCCGGGTCCGTGGGCGTCGAAAAGAAGACGGGGGTGCTCAACCGAGCAAAAAGGTAAACGATTTACACGAGCAAACGCACGCGTACCGCCTGCACGTCGCAGATAAGTTACGCTCCTCCTCGTTACTCTTCTCCTTCCACCCTCCTCTCGCCCTTCTTCGTACCACCCCTGACCTATTTCTTCGACATCCTCCATGCACGATTCTAAGTACCGCGAAATATATGTGTATAACTTTACTGCTCTATCAACTGCCTTCTCCGTTTCGTAATCCTACGTAATTTTAAATCTGTCCCCTCTCCGCTAATAAATAATTTCAAAAATATTCGAGAAGACATAACTCTTTCGATAAATAATTTTGATTCCAGAGGATCGATCCAAAACGATTCAGAAACATCCCCGATAGAGTTTCGCGTAGATAGGATATAATAAATAGGATAAATTTTTCCCGATAAATAATTTTGATCGATCGAAACGAGGAGGGGAAGGGGGTTGAAACGCGAGGAAATCCTAGGCG